CTTGCTTAAAGACCAGCGGCGATGATAAGAGAGAAAGAGATAGAGAATGCAATTGGCTAAAAATAATTTTACTGCCAGAATGCTCTTTTGAACTGCTTACTATAGCTTCACAGCAAGTGTTTTGCAATTTCAGGATGTATTTAGCAAAGCTTCATTTGAAACAACAACAACAACATTGAAAAAAAACCCCAAAAAACAAGAGCAGGTTAAATCCTGTATGTCTTCTAAGTAAATATTACTAGCTGACAAGAGGAAAATATGACTGGGCCAGCAGTGTCACCAGCTTTAGGTCTTTTGGAAAAACTTAGAATGGATGAAATGAGAGGGAAGGTGCAAAAAGTGTCTGATGGCATGTTAGTGAATGGGGGGTGAGTGGGTTGTGATAGTTGTTGTTTTTAAATTGTATTAATAAAATGGTTGCAAACATGACTCACATAGCAGCGATCTCCTTCCTGAGCTAAAAGGAAGAAGGAGAGCTGGTCCCACCTGCAGCCCGTCAGCTCCCTTCATGACTCTCAGGGTTGCAATCCCAGGTGAGATGCTGAAGATGAGACTCCTGAAGGATTCACAGTAGCCTGACTTCAAAGCAGGCGATAAAATGCAGCATCTTACTGGGCCAGAGCTGTGCTTACGACAGGTGTCTCCTAAAACACATGGACTTCCCTGGGCTGAAACAGGCCCCCAAGTGATGGCAGGAATGTGCTGCTGGTGTGTGGCCCTTCAGCGCACTGCTAGCCCTGCCATCACTTCCAAAGCAGGAAGATCAGATGGCCATGGTGCCCCGTGGCTCCTGAGAAATAATCTCCCCATTTTGGATCGGCCAGGACTATGCTTTAATTAGACACAGTCATGTTGTTTGAAAATCTCTGCAATACACTCACCATGGCTGATGTTAAGAGAAACTAGAGAATTATTGGATGGGCTCTCACAAAGGACTTTTTTTTCATTGCTCCCTATGCAACCCAGTGCCTTCAGAGAGTAACTGTGCTGTTTGTTTATTATTGTTATTATTAGCTTTTATTAGATTCAATGCAACCTACCTCAGTGTGTCCCCTGTTTTTCAATTTCTGGTTTGACACCATTATTTGTACTGAGGAAAAGTCCAATATATTGTAGATATTACTATGAAGTAAGTTACTATGGGATAAATTATTAAAATTTCTTATATAATATTTTAATAAATAATAACCAATTGTTGAAAAATATTAAATGTGAATACTTTTACAGCTTGCTGCAGGGATAGCAGGCAGCTATGAAATGTTTACATTCCTGGTATTTGTAGGAAAATGGAGGAATTTTTTATACAAACTAAGCAATACCTTGATTCAGACACAGTTTTGAGGTGAAGATCTGCAGTAGTTCTAGCAATTGATTGACATGGCATCTACCTACTGCAGTAGATAAAACTCTCTTTATAAATGTAAAAAAAAAGCTATAAAGATGAATGATATTTGTTTGTTGTAGAATTAAATAGCTAATGTCGACATTTCAATTATCATCATTAGCCTTCAGCCTGAACACCCTACTGAGATGAATGGGATCAGCTTACAACCACGCAGAGAGCTCTGGCTTCAGGCTTTCTGAAGAGTTGGGCATAACTCCCCGTGCTGGGCTCCTGTTCAGCTAATGTCTCAAAGGTTGCTTCCATCACCACAAAAGGCAGAGTATGAAATAGGATGGAAATGACGGTTTAGTTCCCAGTACAGCCCCACTTGTTCCCACTGCAAAACAATTCCAAAAATTTCAGGTGCTGAGAGTTGAGATAACCGGTCGCATTCATGGCATTTCTTCAAATGAGACTGATGTCCCCGTCTTGTCAACTTATTCCCCTCTCTCACTAGAAACTTTTCCTGTTCTGTACCCTCTATTCCCAAACCTTCTTTGCTTCCATGTCTTGTTGCACATCTACAACACCAAGGCCCTTGTCCTGCTTTGGAGCCCCGTGCAAGGGCCAGCTGCTGGCTCTGATACAGGACCTGGTGCATCTGCTGATGCAGCAGACACGCAGCCAGGAATGCCTGTCTCCTGCAGGGTGCTTACCTGGGTCCTGCAGGACAGCCTGTGGCTCACAACGCGCCCCAAAGCAATCGCCTCTCTCCTGCTCTGTGCCATGATGTGATGCATGTTCATGATCATGTGCTCTATCCAAGCAAAGGCATGTTGGTAAGGATGGTGCTGAAGGTGGGGGAAGAACAGCCTGCTGAGAAAGGGGAAGGTGGCACATCCAAAGCAGAGTTGGCAGCTTTGTAAAGGGGCACAATGACACCAGTAATGTAAATGCCCAGACGGATTACCCAATACATCTCCAAGGTTTCATAAGGAAAAGACAAGAAACACTGGTTTCAGCAATGGAGAATTTAGAGCAGTGTTTTTCCTGCGTAGTGAGATTATTCAGTCAGGAAAGCAGATGCGAAGTTGCAGATTTTTATAAGGTACCTCACCTTCAGGCATTGTATCTGAAGCTACCGTTTGGCTCACATGCAGTCCAAGTGCTTTTTCCCAGCTGTGAAAGTGCTGTCCACAGGAGAGCCAGATGGTGGACCAGTGCACTGAAATCTGCAGGCAGACCTGTGCAGGGGGACTCAGCGTGGGTGCAAACCATCCCCATTTGGGGTGCTTGCCACCTTTCCTCCTCTTCTTCTTTTTCTGTAGCTTTTTTCCCTAGTTCCCCTCCTGCAGGGGTGGGATGAACAGAGGCTGACTACATTTTTTGTACGTTTTAACAGTGTCAGACTGGGCCATTTGGGAGGTTTTACCACATTACCATTGCAGCCAGCTCTCTATTATGTGAGGTGGATAATCCAGATCATCTGTAGCTGCATGAAGAGGTGGCCAGCGGCTCTGCATGAACCACTTGGAATCTAGCAAACCTCCTTGGCTCCAGCTCAAAGCCAACTATGGATGAAGAGCGTGGGTGTCTCTGCACTGTGCTTCCAACACCTGCATGACCCCAGTGAGCAACTTGTCCCAGCCCCTCATCCTAGAGAACGGGGAATTGATTGTAGCACAGAATTACAGTACAAGCGTTGCATTGGCAGGACTGCCAGTGCGGAGGATCAAGTTCAAAGTGACAATAACCTTTCTTTTTTTCCCTCTCTCTTTATCTTATGAGCATTTTTCTCATTTTACAGTCTGGCAAAACTGATGCGGAGAAAGTTCAGGTGACATACGGGAGAATATCAGTCAGAATATAGACTAAGTTCTCTGAATCGCTTTATAAGCAGCTTTTGTCTCATATTTTGGCCTGACTTAGCATCATCTCACATCCCAAGGACTTTTGAGTGTATACTGTCTTGAACAATGCATGAGAGTGGCTGTGTGACATTTCCCAGACCCCTGAAAACTTAATGCGAAAATCTAGTAGTGATTCTGATGTGCTTTTATGTGTACATCAAACCTAACTTCACTTTAGTACACAGTCACATCACAGTAACTCAGATTTATCCCAATCATAACTCTGTTGGCTTTAATGAAGCAGCACCAGAAACTAGGTTTATCTATGAAATGTTAAAGTAAGTTTCAGAAACACATTTTTTTCAGCCCATGTTTTTCCACAGTGGAAAGAGTACATTATTATTTGAACGAAATAGAAACACCAACAGTTTGAGTATTTTATTTGAATGAAAGTAAGGTTTTTCTTCATCTGTTCTCTTCATGTGCTGCAGGAAAGTGAACTGGCTGTTTTTAAAAAATGTGGCCAAGCACAGTTGAAGAGTAATTAAGTAACATGTAAAATTACTAAAAAAAGCCTCCAAACCTAGGACATTTTCAGCATTGCTGGAAACCATGCTTTTAGACCAGAATTCAGTCTGAATCCAAGGGGTTTTCTTTGGTGTTTCTGTTGAAGGGGGTTGTGCTGGGTTTTTGTTGTTTTTCTTTAAATCCAACTCAGGTCTATCAGAATGTGGCAGAAAAAACCAAAAGCCTGTCCACAGCATTTTCCTCTGTGAGGGAGGTCACAATGGCAGAAATTTCACAAGAACAACTGGCATCATCAGATTTCCACCTTTCAATTGGTTTGGGGCCAAAACAGTCATTGATTTTTCACTTTCTGCTGGAGCTTGTAAATAATCATAGTGTCTTTTTTCTGCGATAATACAACTGGTATGATACTAATTAGATACAATAAAACTAGTTCTGATCAATTTTTAATTTCTTCGTCTTATCATTAAATGTAGTGATGTCTATATTTTTCACATTCAGTCATATTTGAACTCAGGTAAGATATCTTTAGTGAAATACTAAATAAATGACAAAGATGTATGGAGGATTTTTTGTGTATTATTATGAGTGGTAAAATCAAAGCAAATCAGTAATTGAGTATTCAATTCTTCATTATATACCTGTAGAAAATAAGGTAAATAAAAATATACTTGACAGCAAATATGTCCAGTGGGAACACTTCCTTGTGTTTTGCTTTATAGTGGCTAAACATTAAGTCAAGACTTTAACTTGAATTTAATGTATTAAAGCAATAACAATCAAGGCATAAGGCATTTCCTGGGAATTAATGACTGACTGTTGATGGGGCAATGTGAAGCTGAGGGCCATTAACCTCGGCTAGTCATTAATTTCCCTGAAAATTCCCTGTGCCGAAGTTGTTAGTGCTGTTTATAATCTTCTTATGTATTAAGCATATATGTAAACATTTTCCCTCCTGTCCAAGCAATTGTTAAAAAGATACCGTAGGAAGGAGACATTTAGGCAATACTGCTTAAGAAAAGAAACAAACACAAACCATTTTGGAATCAAAATATGAATGCCCTAAATGAATACTGTAAGGATTGTTTGAGAACTCTAGTACAGTCATGCGCAGAGAGTGAGGCAGACTGTCAGCTCTGCAGTCAACAGCCCCCGGATGGCTGTGATGGAGCTGCTGACAGCAAAGTGCCTCCTCATCTATTCGAAAGGTTCCACCAAGTCAGGTCTGTGATGTCCCCTTCCCTGACACTGTTCACCCCTGTTCATTGCTGATGTCTCACTTTTGCACATTTCCACAGGAGTAGAAGATACCAAGACCCCGCCGAATTAATTTTAATACTTGGAACACAAAACATTGATGCAAATTTGCCATTTGCCAGAAGCCAGCAGTTGGAGCGTGGTGATCCTTCCCATCTACTCAGCACTTCTGAGGCCAGACCTGGGGTGCTGGATCCAGCACTGGGCTCCCAGAGAGACATGGAACTACTGAAGAGAGCCTGTTGAAGGCCCACTAAGATGTTTGAGAGACTGGAGCATCTGTCCTATGAGCAAAGATTGAGAGAGCTAGGACTGCTCAACCTGGAGAAGAGAAGGCTCAGGGGGATTTAATAAACATATTTAAATAGCTGAAGGGAAAAGGATGGGAACAGGGTCTTTTTGGTGGTGCCCGGTGACAGGACCAGAGGAAAGGGCACAAACTGAAACACAAGAGGCTCCACATGAACACCAGGAAACATTTATTCACGGTGAAGATGACTGACCCCTGGCACAGGTTGCCCAGCGAGGCTGTAGTCTTCATTCTCGGAGATACTGAAAAGCTGTCTGGAGATGGTGCTGGGCAATGGGCTGTAGGTCGTCCTGCTTGAGCAGGGTGGTTGGACAAGATGATCTCCAGAGGTCCCTTCCAACCTCAAACATTCTGTGACTCTGGGAAAATTGTGAGGTTCGACCACAGAAAGCGTTTATTTCTCTGGGCTCCTCAGGAAATCCTTATGAGTAAATGCCCAATTTCCAACATATTCTAGTCAGACAAAGGACCTGCATGGTGGCAGACTCACGGAATCAGATCCTAAGCTATCCCATCGAGTTTAAAACCAAAAAGGAACAGTTGTGATCTTCTATTCTGACATACAATATTGTGTCCCTACATATATAGCTTGACAGGTCATCTTTGTGTGTTATTAGTTGTTACTAATAAAGTTCACTGCAATCATTTCTCAGGACCATCGGGGAATGGCATCCTATTGTGTTGAGGGAACAGGACGGACTGCTAGATATTCCTATGTCATTCACAATCTACTTTTCATACACTGCTTGAAACAATAAATAGATGATCCATAGCAACTCTAAGGAACAGAAATGGTGATGGCATTCTTTGTCCGGCTTTCATTTTTTGTTTTTGATGGTATTGATTTAACCTTTATGAAAATTAATCTCAGGAGAGGAACAGAGCCTGAAGATTTTACTTTTAAGACTAGCAATTTCCAAGAGCAATTCCAAGCTGTTGCTCTTCCTGTTTTGGGGTTTTTTGTTTGTTTGGTTGGTTTGGTTTTTTTTTTAATGGATTGATTTTCTTATTTGATAAAGCGATTGCCAGCTAGTGCCTTGTAACTTGGCCAACCTGTTTTCGGGAGTCATTCATTCATCTTATTATTGGCAATAAAATGGTCCATCTCCTACTGTAGCTTGTTTAAAAATCAGTCATTGCTAACAACAAATGAAAGCTCAGCATGTGGAAGTGCTGGAAAAGGATGTTGAACCACAGGGAATTTTATTCATCTTGATATTTTTGTGCACCTGTGAAGTAATTGGGGCATATGAGTCAATGATTAAATGTAGATGGCAAAATAATTTCAAGCTTGTATTAGACCTAGTGATGAAATCACTTCACATAAGGAATACCCTCTATAATAACATATTTAAGACACAACCCTTCAGCATGGAGAAGTAAAGGAAAAAAATCCATGATTAGGAAGGGGCTGCTCTCTTAAATCTGAAGCCCCATGTCTGATTAGGTGCCATTAGTACATGTTTTTCCATAGCTCTTCTAATTTTCATCATGGATGCAGCCCTCTCAAGCAAGCAAGGAAATGGAATGCAACACCAGCTTGACCTGACCAGAAGCAAAATAGGAGATAGTAATTCTCTCTTTGCCCCATTCTGATTGCAAATTGGAAAGAGGAAGTCTAAGGAGGATCCTAAACCAAAAGCACAATACAGACATTCAGCAGACTCCAGGGAAGTTGTGACCCAAGTCACAATCTGAACTTTGTGGCTGATGCTTCCTTCTTGAATGGGCTAAATTAAAATCTAAACCCCAGCAAATGAGGTTGAATTGACAGAGACGAAAAGACAATTCAGATATATACTGTGTCACCTCAAACAGTGGCAAGCTATCCAGCATGAAACTATAAAAAGCTGTATCAGTGCCTTTTCTTTTTGGCAAAACACCATATATTTGATAAAACTGTTTCCACTAACTGAAACAATCGCCAGTGAGGAGGATGTATTTTCTCATTTGACATGCCACCCCAGCTGTAAGAGTTCTATTAGATTGTCCTGGCTCAGTGTTTGATATTTATTCTTATCATTTAGGACCATCAGATACCCATGTCCTGGAAGATGTCTATTGAATGGTGATAAGTGTCTGGAACCCACATAACAAGTGATATCACTGCACTGGCATTAACTCAGTTTCACAACCTGCAAGTTCAGAGCACTATCACAGAAAGAGCTGGGATTTATTTATATCAAACTGGCTTATAATTAAATTTGGCACTTGCTTATATAAAATTTGGGATTTCTCTAGTGCTTTCCCTCCAAGATGTTCTACAATTCTTCCTTAGGCAGTTAATCATGTGATTATCCTATTCATTGCTATTATAAAATACTTACTTTAGAAATGTGTGTATTGCATGGAGAGTTAGAGGCAGAGTAATTTGAAATAAATTCTGCCTTGAAAAGAGATCCAAACCGGTGGAAGACAAGCAGTCCACAAATTGCAGTGTTATGAGCTGTAATGACCGCAGAGAGGAGAAAGAGGGGCCCTGTAACTTCTCTTCCATCTGGCTATGGAGCTGCTAAAGAGGTATAACCAGGCAGAAAGAGATGTTTACAGAGAATTGCAGTGACTCATTAGTATGGCAGCTATTTGGTTAACCAATTAAGAAATTATATTGATTTGCACAGCAGTTTCTAGAAATACATGTCAGTTTTATTGCCACTGCTTTTAATAAGCAATGGTGTCTCTAACTAGGTCTCGTCCAGGGAAATGGTTGCATTAGAAAACAAATTAATAAATGCAGAGATAAATATGACTTCAGCTGTTGATGTGGAAAAAAAATGACTATATTTCCAAGCGAGTTATGTGGTCATGGCCATCTAATTTGTAAATACACAGTTAGCTATGATCATTTGCGAAGTAAATTAAAAAAATCTAAAGGTTTCCAAGTTTGCTGGAACGGAGCTCTTCTTTTTTAGATGAAAAATGCAGGTTTTTGGAAAGCTGTATTGGAATCTACATGGGAACTGTATTGCTATTTGGCTTCCTCTTAGAGATTGTTCTAGAAAAACTCATGTATTTTTCTGTGAAAAAAAAAAAAAAAGTGACTTGAGATCTACTGAAATCCACTGGGAAAAGAGCATGGTAAGGGCTTGAGCAGACCTATGGTGAAGACCATTCTAGGCAAGAATATTGATTCTACTACACAAGTAGCATCGCGTTTAATTCACAAGCTGCACTGATCATGAACCTGTTAGACAGACTGCAAAGGAACCACTTCAAAGGACAGCGGATAAAATAGAAGATTTTTACTAAATGATTGTGTTTCCATGGAATTGGCACTCTAGCCTTACTTTGCTTGAGATGGGTGATTGCTAGCACGATCATATGCATTGTGAAGAGACCGGAAATAGTCAGTAATGAAGAAATTGGTATGAAGGAAAATATCTCTATTTTTCTTGAGCTGACAATTGGAGAGTTTGTCTCTCTGAAACAATAAGTTTGGAAAGATTGTAACAACATCAAATTGAAACAGCCAATTTCACTCAAGCCTAGCGTTAAAATGTTGCCCGGGATTTTTTAACATTTTATGACTGAACATAACTCTCAGATATTATTTTCCAAAGAAGGAGAAAAAGGCTTTTGATGGTCCTATTAATAGAAGGATGATAATTTAACCTGGGAGGGAAGATGTAACGTGAGGATATTGGTTGTTGTTATAGGCAACTGTTATTCATTACAAGTGATTTCAGAGAAAGCAGATTCTTTGAGGAAGAACTCGTTCTAGGGGAGCTGATCAGCTGCTGCCTTCTGGGTTTTCTAGCCCTGGCTGGAAACACAGCCTTTGTGGTGTCATTTGCTTAGACACAGGATCTTCTTGCCCTTGCAGAGGTTCGACCACACTTCTCCCACTACCACCATGAACCATTCCTCCCCACCGCTAGCTCATTTCCTTTGCTTTTCTGAATCCCCTGTCAGGGAACTTAATCTCTTCTCCACTTTTTCAGTGCTCTGGAGTGAATTTCAGTGCTTATTGACAAATAAAAGTCTGGAAGCAGATGTAAATACTAAATTAATAGTTTTAACTAGAACAGCATTTTTACTCTTGACTACCATTGTTCTGCCCATTTTTCCTTTGTCTCTGATGTCCTTTTGGGAATGTTGCAGAGCTTTCACAGGGGTTCGAGTTATTAAAGTACCCTTATTGCACTGTGTTGATTTTCATTATTTATAGCAAATTGAAGCAAGGGGAGTACCTGAAGTTAAGATAACTTTCCAGCTGCTTTTGTACTTTTTGCAATGCATAGTTCATAAGGGCTATTTAACACAGATTTCTCATTAGCATAATATTCTTGCATGTTAAATGTTTTATATGACATTTTTTGCAGCTACTACAGGCAATAAATAAAATGGCTTTCCTATAAGAAATTTTTTTCTTGGTAAATGTAATTTAATAATTAATGATTTCTTGGTAAATGTAAATTAAAATGTTTTAACTCCTTACTACTACTCAGAACCATCATGTGCTATCCTAACTTTGTCTTTGATTGTGCGTGTTCATCTGCGAACATCAAAGAGCCCACACTGCTATTCTTCTTCAACCAGCTGTTAGCCTTATTATGCCAAATTCTGGTTTCTGTAGCATAGACTGAAGTCATTCTTTTGCTTATAAATGGCTCACGATTTGCTTCGTCACCTCACTGACTCCTTGAAGGGATTTTGCATGTGGAGAAAAAAACATACTTTTCCCAGAAGTAGTTTCTAGAAACTACCTCGACACAAAGTGAAAGCTCTGTGCCAAATGTTCAGACTTGTTCAGCCAATAAACAGAAGTATGGTCCAGGCTGGACAGTGGAGAAGGGAGCATTTAAGGTGATGATCTGCACAGCCCATATTCTCAGAGGTGTAAGCACACTTGGGTAGCAACTGAAATAAGGAGGTGGTCTAGAAAAATGCTGGAGTTGAAAAGCTTTTACCTGATCTGATCTCAGATGGATGAGGTAGAACATCGTGTGGCAGATTAGACCCACAGACACAAGATGGTGTTTAATAAGTTCTGGTGGAAGGAAAGTGAGAGATGATTTACCACCACATAAAGTAAATGGATGGTGCGTTGAGGTACATCAGTAGGAGTACTGAGTCACAGCTCATCATCTGGAAAACTGGAAATTTTCAGTACCACAGCAACCCAGCAGTTGCTGTATATATTCTGAGAGCAAAGAGAAAGTGACAAGTAATGCTTTTTGGAGCATATTATAAAAGAAGTGGGTTTTATCTTCTGGGTGTTGCCATCCTATAAGTTTTCCTGTCAGATTTGGGAGAACAATATTTCACTTGGCTTTCAGTTTGTCTCTGAATCATTGTAACAATGGGATTTATTCTTCCAAACCTGAATTGCTGAAGAAAAATAGGC